TATTCCGTGATCGTCGTCGCTCCCGTAAATACCTAATATTTGTACTACATACTTACAACAATAAACCTCGAACAAAAAAAAAAATAGATTTAAAAAATAATCTGAAAATAGGTAAAATGGAATCTAATTTATTTAAATGTTGACCAAATAAACAAAAATGACTTGCTTGTATATGTGCTTAAAAGCTTGCGGTACTCGTTTGCGCACAGTGCACAATTTTTTACCCTGAAACTGACAACTCGTTTGCGTACAACGAAAAACTTGAAAACCCGCTAATGCAAATTTGACCTGAAAATAACTTTCGGTACTTAATAATGATACTATTTATTTTAAGAAGACACTACAACCTAAATTAATCATATATAATCAAAATAAAACTTGTATTTTATCGAAATATTTAAGAGGACGCTACACTCGCATGTGTCGTTTCCGTCTCATAAATGTATAACATAGCAAAAACTGTTAAAAATAAAAACAACGTTGCACAGTAAATGTTTTCATATTTATAGTTTATATAGTACATTTTGTTACCTCATCTTGGTAGGTACAGCCTGAGACCTGAGTGGTTCTATCCCGTGCAAAACACTTTTTGATAGCTTTACATTTGTAAGATGGAGAAAATAAATTTGGGTGTAGAGTTTAGCGTTCTCTTAAACATTTCGATAAGATACACGAAATCCCTAGTTTTATTTTGATTAAATATGATTAACTGGTGTGTGCTTCTAAACTTCTAGCCAGCGAACCTTTTTATACCAGCGTGTCAAATAAAAATGTTGGTTAGATTTTGTTTTCCCTGCGTGTCAACTAGTTCGATAACCGTTCAATTTTTTTTTCAAAATTTTTACACATTCGTATGTATCACTAAAATAGTGCACGCGTGTCACTCTGACACTCTGTGACACGCGTGTCGTAGGTTCGCCATCTCTGTTCTAAGCGATAATGCGTTTTTAGATAAATGTGTGGGTTATTGACGACCACCGGATAATTTAGCTACGTTTTGAGTCATATACGTGTAGTTCACTACTGTCTATTTGCCTATGGTTTAGTTGAACCACACGTATAAAGCATTTAAACATTGTTTTTGTAAGTTCTTTTGAGTTTTGGTAGACGTTGGCTATAGTTTATGTACTCAAACGTCAAACGAGTCTTACGTTTGGGTCATTTATCGCAGGTATTAAAAATGCGTGAATGTAATTGAGTCGCGCATCATTTGTATTCAAACGAATCGCAAAAAAGCGTAAATGTACACAACGGATATCGCCCTTGGCTTTAGCCTTCCACCAAAACCACTAACTTCAAATATCTTATAGGGGGCCATCCCACCCCCTACATACAATCACAACATATTTTAGATTCTGAACCAAGAGAAGAACATGTTGAATTTATAACAATTTGTTTTATTTTATGTTTATAAGTTTATAATACTATCATGAGTAATATAAGCCACTCATGAAAATAGTTTACTCTATAATATTTTAATATCTTAACGGTATTTTTCTATCTTTAGCACTTGCAAACTTATTTAAAATATTGTAAATATGTACACTTTTCTTGAATCACAGTTGACCGTAACCATGTTTCATCGCAGAAAATGACCTTCCACTGCAAGTTCCACTACTTATTGGCAAAGTAAATGCAAGTATGTAACACACAGGAGCTTGTATAAATTTGGAAAAGTAACCTCAATTGTTATACTCGTAGTATATTTATCTACTCTATATTTATTTATTTTTTCCAAGAGAAAATATACAATTTGACATGTATTATTTTAAATCAATAAAGGATATTTTTTTGAGGGGGAGGTAAATCTTAGTCAAGGGGGCTAAGCCCCCCCCTCCATAGTTACGCCACTGATAAAGACAGGGGTGTAGCTAGAATAATAACGGATGACACGCATATTAAATACTATACCTAATCATAGTTGATCGCGTTCATAATAATTAATATTAAAATAATTACCTATGTAATTACTAATTTGTTTTATATTTTATAAAGCTTATACAATGTTTAAACATAACAAATGACAATACTATTTATTAACAGCATTTATTCAACTTACTCAATTTTTATCTGAAGTGGCTACTTTTAACAAGTCTATCACGCCTGAAAATTCATAGATACAATATTCTTATTGTACATGTAGACACATATTTTCATGATAAAACAAAAAGTTACTAAATTTGAACGAGTATGATGATCGATTTAGAGTGATACAAAAGCGTTTTCAGTTTTTATGCTCGAGCTCATTTGCTTGAAAATATCATCGCCGTATTTTGCAGTTTATCACCTATCTAAACAATTTTAAATTTTAAAAACTTCTAAAAATAATGTCCAATGTGAATTGGTGTAGGCACAAGTCTAGTAGGCAATTTTTAGAATTTGTTCATACCTCAGGAAAGTGATATGTACCTATATATATATATACATAAATTATTATCCTTAACCGAAAAAAGAAATCAGACTGGTAGGTATGTTTATATAATAATCAATCATGTTTTTCCTACTTATTAGATAATAGAAAATCAAAACATTTACATTTTTAAAGTGTATAATTGTCAATAAATAAAGGAGGGAAGTAGGTAACTATGCTCTATTGTACATTAGGTGTCGAATGATTCTTGTCATTGAGTAGGTCACTGTTATAGATGTATTAAATTTGAATTCAATAATAAATCATTGCATACGAATAACGATTCTGAGAAAAGATGGTTAATATATTGAGATTGAAGTCTACTAGATTATATTCAAATATCATCATGTATTTTCGTCAAAAATATAAGTACCTATAGGTACGACGACGGTAAATAATATAATAATAATAGTAATTAATAGTAATACCTACCTATAATAGTAGTATAATAATATTGGATCATCATAGAGTAGGTTGTACTCTTCGATGGTCTACGAATCTAATGTTATTGTTCCTAACACCTGACGAAAACATTGTTTTATTCTAAAATTAATGACGATGGGTAAAGAACCCAGTAATATAACTTATATAACATAACTAAGTAATGAACTACCCGTTCACAAAAATATTCTGTTTTAGCATTTAAAAAATAATGTACGAGTATAATATGCTTCACTGCTTCATCCAAAAAATTAAAAACTTAAAATAATAAAGACGATAAAAACATAATTTTTTTTCGAAAATGTATTTTGTTATACATTTAGTTGAAGTAGGTTTTTCAGATAAGTTTAAAAAATATTTACAATATTTAAATGGCACTTTTTTGTTAATGCTCTTTGAGAAAATGTGCTTACTATTAAAAGAATCACCTTGAATAATATAATAATTTTATATGCTATACCTTACGATTGTACGAATGAAAACACAGATATGTACTTTAGGGACTTTTCTTCGTGTTTTCGAGAAATCGATTACGAAGACTGATTCTCTGTGACGTAAAAGCCAAAAGGACTAATGTCAGAAGTAGGTACCTACTAAACAATAGTAATAATAATAAAAGTGTTTGCACTTTGCAATGGGTATACAAAACCGTTATTGACATAATACCGCAAGTACTTTTATTGTTTATCCGTTATCGCGATGAATTGTGTCTGGAAATAAATTCTTCTATTTCTAATTGAACGTGTGCGTCAAAGTTTCGCTTAGCGTAGTTTAGTACAATAGTACCTATATATTATTTTATAAAAGTTATTTTCAGTGAGGCTCTTGGGCGGTCCGTGGGTGTTTCACCATATCCCTGTAGGATGTAATGGAGATGTCAAATGTAGTGTTAAGTCTACATTTTGTAATTTTAAATACCTATTCGGTTTCTTGTGGGCTGTTTTGTCCAAAATCCAATGAATATTTTCAATGATATAAGGTGAGAACATGAGCCTATTATTGTGTCTGAGTATACATTTATTTTGTAGTACATCTGAAATTTGAATGGTGTACACTGACGTTTACCATAGATGATAGTTTTTTTTTTATTAATTGTTTAATTTTTTTTTTTAACTACATTTTATAAACAGTTTTTTGACCAATAACAGTTGGTGATTTCTTGGTATTATCTTCATAATATGTTTAATGTAATATATTATATATTTATATTCATTGAACAATTTTCTATATTTTATTGTATTATCGATGTTTCTGTGTTTACTGTTGTGATAAATTTCACTGATATTATTCATAATGTTTAAGATAAGAAGGTATTAAATATATATATTAATATATTGCAGGTATAAAGAGTAGGATTTTGTTTTTATGCACCTCTCTCCACCCCATAAAATAGAGTAATTATAGGATGGTAAAAGCTTAAACGCTATAGGCACTTTAAAACATTATTTTGCGATTTTCAATGTTGTAATTTTTTTTGTTCCGTTCTTTGTACGAAAACTGAAATTATTTACTATATAATATTGTTCAGTGGGACGAGCTCGGTCTCGGAGGAATCACTGCAGACCCAGTACCCACAGACAGGGAGTGAGAATGAGAATAATTATTGTTGATATACGAATTATAGTCATATTCTACCCATTAAACCTATACATATATACTTGTATTGTATATAAGTGAGTACTCTGATGGAAAGACGAGCGAAAAAAAATCGCTGTGTAACACACAGAAATCTGTACGAGCGGGAGTCCCGAATCGATATCGGCCGATTACCACGGATCCGACAGAGAAAGGGTCGACGGAGACTGCAGGCAGTTAATAATCACAGTAAAAGGCTCTCCGGCCGGTAAAAGACGCGTATACTTCATACAGACGCACACACACACACACGCACACACACACACACACACACACACACACACACACACACACACACACTCACGCACATATAATATATATGAAGAAGGCCGTTCGGCGACATATATATCATTATTATACATTTATACGAATAAGACCCACATTACGCGCTCGCTTCTCCCTACCACGGCGGCGCAGACACACGGCCGCCACCCCGTCCACGGTCAAATCGTCAAATCGTGTCGGTCGCGCCCGACTGGAGTGCACACGGCGGCGCGCGTATTATTATAATATATATATGCAGTTACGCACTTGTAGCTTTAAGCCCGCCGCCGAACTCGACGCTCACTTCTGTCCAAGTCGCTAACCCGCAATCACGGTCCGTCGCAGCAGTGTTTCGCCCGGAGTACCTACCCATATAAGTAAGTAATTAATAATGATAATAATAACAACAACAACAACAATAATATTGTGCCAATAATATATTATTATATCGCGTCCGTCGTTATTGTATATTATTTTATTTTCACTCGTTGGCAAATTGTTTTTCCGACGCCTTTCTCCTCTATTTTTGTATTTGAAATAACAATTTACATTTTTTTCCGGACATTTCATAAGTAGGTACCTATAGGCCATAGGTAGTATATTTATATTTTTGTATTTTTTTTTTAAATCGGTTTACACATCTCGAGGCACTTAAAAAAATAATTTATAATAATATTATATAGGCGGTAGGAACAGTATGTACCTACTCTCCGATCTGCAATTTTGCATCAGCGTGATTGATAAATAAATATCATTTTTTTCTTTTATTCGTTATACTAAATAGTATATTTTGTAAAAATATATAAGATAGATTTAAAACAATTGTGTTTCTTATAAAACTGCATTTCGTTGGGGGATTGTACATTTTTGAAATTATATTTAGAAATTAATTTGTTTTATCTTTTTTTTTTTAAATAAATACATAATTTATTAAATGTATTATGTTAACACATAGCTTATAATTTTTAATAGAAACAAATAACCAGTGCTAAATTTCGAGTTTCAGCTGAAAATAAAATGCTACACTATTTTAAAAGTTAATTTTAATAATAATAAAATATAGAATTCATAAATCATTATAATATACCGAAATATAGTATATATTACCTTCTTAAAACTAACCAATCTTGTTGATAAAATATAATTGTAATTGTAACTGTTAAGATAATGTAAACTACACAAAAATTGTAAAAACTGTGATTAGCATTTAAGAAATTCACTAATGGCCTTTGCTGCTGTGTTATAAAAAAAGATCAATAAAAAAAAATTATATTTTATATAATTCAGAACGGTTATTTAAGAATACCTATTTATCTGACATGGAAATATACCTGCGTGAGATCAAGATCATTTTCGACTTTTTGATTCTTCTCATTTGTGTTAAAATATTTTCTTGTATTAATCAATTATGTACTTTTTTCCTTTACTACCTTTATCTTATTAATGTGACCACAATTATTACGAATTACGAACATGTACAAAATGGCATTTGGATCAATTAAAATGTTCTACTCACATAGTTGTAGGTAATTGTTAGGCACTATGTACTACCTAATAGTCTGTGTACTAATGCGATTATAACCTGGTTTGTGTAACAGACATTTTAACAATATTTAATTGGTTCTAATAGTCTTATGTTCTTATAGGCGATCGTAGATGAACAAAACAATGCGAATAGTGTTATATCATATATTATGTATTACATTATTACTTAAATAAATGTTAAAATGTATAATATAATCGACAGTCTAACGGAGAAAACAATTTAATGTTGTCAAAAGCTTCGCATGTCTTATAAATTATCGTTAAATGATTATTGGCATAGTACATACTGCTACATAATAGTAAATAAAAATTGTTCATCAATTTCGGTCATTCACGTTCGTCATAATTTTGTTTTAAGTGGACGTCGCACATCGTTGTATAATGAATTATAATATATGCCCAAGAGAAGCATAAAAATAAAATATCAGATTTTGTATTTAAAATATTGTGGATTATTTGGGGGACTTTTTTGTATATGATACCTTTGATAGAAATTAACAAGAATATAGCGCACATTGTGTTTCTATGGAATTAATTTTCTTCTCATTACAATTGAAAAAGCATTCTATTATATCTATGTTTATAATAAAATATTACGATATATGTAGGTAATTATTAAATTGTACGTACATTGCTTAAAGAATATAATTCCTAGAAAACATTAGCTATATTATTACGTTGTCCGCATTAATGATTATAATTTATAATACCTTACATCCAAACATCTATGAACTAAAACTTTAAATATATTTTTTTAATTGTTGTCGCGTAGAAATTTATTTTTAATGCTACATGGCCTACATGCGAAAAGCATAAACATAAATATATAGGTACATAAGTTTAACTAAGATTTATAATTTAGGATTTGTAGTTACAGCCTTAGAAGAGCTAGAGTCCTAGTAATCAAACTTCAAAATAAGCTGTACAGTTAAAATGAAATTAAAAAAAAATTTCGATAATCAAATTTATGTAAAATACCTTATTTAGATACCTAAAAATTAATACAAGAAAAAGAACCAATCCTATTCTATATTTTCGTGCATTAGGTACTTCGATTTTTTCTGTACAGACTGGAATAACCAATGACTAAACATTAAAAACATTTATATTTCATATATAGTATACTATTAATATAATTATTAATTATTATACACAATGAACGTGTTACACCATTTTTTTGGCAATGACTTGGCTTATATGTCAAAAGGGGGATAAAAACGCATATTGGTGGGCACTCTCCTTCCCTAGATACACCGACGTGTATGTACATAGTATATTATGGTGCATACAGTTAAAAGTTTATAAAATGCGTCATATACAAATAAAATCTAATTAAAGTAATAACCGATGTAAATATACTTTTATCAAAAATCAATTGCATCGGGTAGGTATGTCATTCGTTGAATTTAGCATAAAAGTTATTTTTGTTATATGGTTAATTTTTAAAACATATTGTAAATGACCTAAAAGTATGTATAACTAACGAAATAGTAATTAATTATTACGATGGAGTACCTAGCTATGTTATATTTTCTATATTAAAATGTGTTTGAAACTAAAAAATGTTTCTTTGATACAAGAAAAATATAATTTTCGTTCTGTATCATAAATTTGGTTGTGAAATTCGATAACACCATGATGCAGATTGGGATACCGATTATGAATATTGTAGTTTGAAGTTAGTGAGGCAGCCAAATTACGAAATAAATTTCCTTGTAAAACGATGAAAAAAATGTCCTTAACCCGTTTATAAGAAGGTATACTTACTCGATCCAGTTGAGTACAATTGTGTTCTATAGAGATAATGGTATTATTTAACCATTTAGTGAAAGGACTTAAGCATAGTTCATTTTTTAAATGGGTGAAAATTCCGTAAATTAAACCCTATAGCGAATGATTGTTTGGACAAGTTTTTTTATTTTCTTAAGTCAGCCTTCGTGTATTTCCCCAGTGTTTCATATTATGCATAATAACGTCATCCAGGGAAGTACACTCCTATGCCATAAAATATATTATAAATATACCAAGGCCATTTACGGATGTAAATCGGTATTAAGGTACTGCACTTATACTTAGGTACTCTGCACTGTCTTATTACGATAAAATAATTGCGAAAATACAATTCAAAATATTTTTAATACCTTTCAAAGGTGGGTTACGAAAAAAAAATTAAAAGCGTGATTTGAAACTTAATTAAAAACTGTCTTACCTTAATCGGTTATCAACTAGACTTCTGAGTATTGTTTAACTGTAAAATTAATTACCTACGAGTTTAGTTTACTGCTTCGATATAATGCAATCAATTAGATAATTGTTATGAATCGTCCATATAAGCTATACAGGTTGAACCACCTAGGTACCTACTATTTACTATCTACAAATTTAAATCGATCTCGGTTTATAGGTAAGTACTTACCTAAAATTATGTCCTGATGTAAAAATTATTAATAGGTACTTATTACAATATCGTTTAATGTTAATCAGACACCACTTTTATATGCATATAAAATATAAATGCATGCAATCTTTATATTATCTAACTAACAATTATCATTATATTACATATTACTTAAATCGATTCCACATATTTACTGTCGTTTAATATAATACAATATTTTATTATTATTATTATTATTATTAGATATCAAAAGATGTTATTTTGCCGGGTCAACTATAGTGTGTTATTTCATAAAGTTATGAATTGATTGGTATTTACAGTATTATACCTGTGTAATAATTAATATTTACGTTAAACAGTTATTGTGAGTTATGTTTGTTTTATTTTCGATTGAATGTCATGATAACAAATACGTAGAAAATATTCATTTGTTTATACGAATGGACCCTGACACAGAGGCTGTTCACTTCCGGGGCACAGGTGAAGGGGTCTTGCAATTGCTTATGATTTAGGCATAAAAAATAAAGATATTTTGATCAAGCGATTGTATTTTCGATTGTGATAACTCTTGGTGCACATACGACCTCACTTGCCCAGTAAATGTAGTCCAAGGCATTCGGAACTGGTTTTAAGATCTACTTTGGTTTTTCTTACTTACTAATAATATAAATTATCTATAATTCAAATACTTCGATATTCATAATATTGAATTTTTTTTTTGTGAAATAATAGGCAGTTGAGTTGTGTTCAATTATATAATTCACAATCAACCAATAATCATATAATAAAGTATTCATTGGATTTAGACACATTCCAATATTTCAATTATAATTTATAACATTTTTAATTTTATACCATCCGATTTCTACTAAGTTATAATATTTTTTTTATTACTTACGTTTCTTATGTTTACTTGGATTATGATTTATTATATTACATGATTCAACTATGGTGTAATTGTTGTGTGTAAGGTGTAATACATAATATCTCCTTCGAGGCTTAACCACTCCGATTAAAGACGACAGAGTTATTCTAAATTTTTTTATTCGTTAATTTATTTCGTGAAGAGCTGATCGCAGTAAATTATTGATTAGAAAATTATAATGATAATTAACCCAATTAATAAATTTATTATGATTACAAAACATTGAAATATAATAATATGCTTATCATTATACTAATATGTAAAATCAAATATTCATAAAAACAACGTTCAATATAAGTTTTTAATTTTCAGGATTGATATACACTATACAGTGTGTTCACGCTAAGAGCTAGGTATCACTAAATATTTCAGTTCGATGAACTTGTACTGAAATGGGGTTTACGTTGAATGACGGATAGTACTTAAATACACATTTTTAGATAAATTTTAAATTTTTAACACTTTCAATACGCGCATGCGCGATACAACTTACTTTTTTTTAAACGGTAACCAAATTTTTTTACATATTTGGATAGAGTATTTTTTTCTTAACAATTTATGTATAAAAAGTTTTGTTCTAATTACTAAATTGGCATATGAAATTTAATATTTACGATTAATTTGTTTTTGACGAAATTTAAAACTAAATTCAACTTATTGTTACTTATTAGGTACTAGTTATTACTTATTAGTATCCAATATTGTTAAATACCTTTTTGCACACAGATAAGATGGAATCATTTTTGGAACATCAAGGTGGAAACTTCGAACAATTTATCAGATAGAACTATAGAACTTAATTGCAAATAAATAAACCTTGATTTCAAATTCAAAATGTGTACAATTTTATAGTTTTCATTACCTTCAATAGCTATCTTATTTCAGAAGAATGAATGAAAAAAATGAGAGTAAATTATTTTTTTTTTAATCTAGAGAAATTGTACAATCTGTAAAATAATCTTTTACAATAAGAACAAATGGTTTAAGAATTTTAGAAAAGATAAAATAACAAAACAACAAACAATAGGTTAATTAAATTAAATTATTTACATCAGTTCAGACAGCGGGCTTGGTGAAGAGGGCAAGCGGCCATCCGTTGATGGAACTTCTTGAGTAAATTAAGATAAAAAAGTGTTTATTTATATCTTATCTGTGTGCAAATAGGTATTTAATAATATTGGATACTAATAACTAGTAATAAGTAACAATAAGTTGAATTTAGTTTTAAATTTCGTCAAAAACAAATTAATCGTAAATATTAAATTTCATATGCCAATTTAGTAATTAGAACAAAACTTTTTATACATAAATTGTTAAGAACAAAATACTCTATCCAAATATGTGAAAAAAATTGGTTACCGTTTTAAAAAAAAGTAAGTTGTATTGCGCATGCGCGTATTAAAAGTGTTAAAAATTTAAAATTTATCTAAAAATGTGTATTTAAGTACTATCCGTCATTCAACGTAAACCCCATTTCAGTACAAGTTCATCGAACTGTAATATTTAGTGGTACCTCTTAGCGTGAACACACTGTATTGTAGTGAATTTGAAATTATGTGTTTTTGTTTAAACTAGGATTACCACAAATACAAATAATTAAAATGTATCTATATGTTATTACTTGTTTGTAGTTATTACATTATTAGATAGACTTTACATCATGCCAAAAATATAAAAGTTAATAGTTATGATTTATATTGGCTCATAGTACCTATATATTATGTGTGACGTGTGTATGCATAATATTATTAATATATACCTATACATTGGCCAATCATCAATTGACCACAACTCAGTAGCACAATAGACATACGCATAACATTTGGATATAATATGTTTATATAAATCCTATGATGTTATAAAGTTGTATAATGTTTTTTAGTATTTATAAATTATAAGAGAATGTGTCGTAGATTATTAAATTGTATTATTGTCTATACGAGAGTGACAAGCATGAAGCAATATAGCAGTACGCCGTGCCTTCAATTAATTCGAAAACAAAGATAATTGTTTCCATTAATATTTTCAACAGTTCAAATTTATGCGTGTAATAGTAGTAATTACATTATATTGTGCTCATTATTTTACTGAACTCGTTTGATTCATATTTGTAGTATCCCTATGTATAAAATACTTGGATATCTATACCTAGGTATAAATGTTTAATCTTTTATAAAAACTTATTACCTATTACTTTAAGTTTATACAATATTGGTATTATAAATTATAATTACCTTTTTTTTATGGTTAAAAGAACACCTTTTACTATAGGTATATTGAACTATATCTATTTAAAATGCAATGATTGCCATTTGCCACCATCAAATTTGATGTGAATTATGTTAATCGATAGCCGATAGGTAAGGTAATAGGGATATACATTAATATAATAAATATATATGCGTTTTGTGGGCTGTAGCAGTGTGGCCTACCCAATCCCAATATGCTAATAATATCAGCTTTTTAACTATCTATGTTGGGTCTTGTAGATATTACAAGTTATACCATTTTTAAGTAAAAACGGTTCAATTATAGTTGTATATTTTCATATTTAACATACTGAGTGTAAGTTTACTTCTAAATGCTTATAGATAGCTCTAATTAAAGGATTTTTTATTTTCAGATAAAAAAAAAGCATTTACAATGGAGTTCAAACAGTTTAAAGAATTTTCGACTGACATGATCGATTACGTGGGAAATTATTTAGAAAACATTCGAGATCGGTAAGCAATAGTAACAGATATTATATAAAGTACTTCTTAAGTAATATATTCACAACAATATATATTTTTTTAATTTTTCTTGTGTGAAAAATAAATAAATTTACAATAAAATACAATTATTAAGCCTATTGTTATTGTTATTTGTGTTATTAATTATTATTATTCATTATAAGAGTGTGTTTAATTTGGGCAAAACTAGGTGTGTAGGCAAATAGAAAAATATAATTATTATTATAATTTACATTCGATTTAGACAGGGTTATTTAATTACTTATATAGTATTGTATATATTTTGTATGTAACTAAACAATATTTTAATATTAATTTAATTTGCTCGTTAAAAATATTAACATAATATTAAATATATTATAATGATGGTAAGTATACCTACGTATTTGGTTTTCTACATATATTATTAGATATCTATTTTAAGAAAACATACATACTAAAATACTAAATGGACTTCGTGGAATTTATTAGCACATTATAATGTTATGTTAAATATTATCAAACAACAATAGTTGGTGGTTTCACATTTATACCAATAAAATACTTGTCTTAAATTTTAATACGTTCAGTACCATAGAATAGGTACGAGTAGTGTTTCAGTGTTTTTAATATTAGGGAATTGTATGATGACTAATTCTTGTCGACATAATACTACAATATTATTTTATTGAATTAATTAATATTACAGGAAAGTATTGTCATCGGTAAAACCTGGTTACTTAAGACCACTTTTACCGACCGAGGCGCCTAATGATCCCGAAAACTGGAAAGATGTGATGTCTGACGTCGAAAAGCTGATTATGCCTGGGGTAAACCATATATATTTATCAATAATTCATATTATTGCGATAATTAGATTTATATTAATTAAATTGTATGTTGTCTGTTTTTATAGGTTACTCATTGGCATTCTCCAAGATTTCACGCTTATTTCCCTACGGCAAACAGCTACCCGGCCATTGTAGCTGACATACTGAGCGATTCAATTGCTTGCATAGGATTTTCATGGGTAAATCATTAATTAAACGTTGACAATTAACCAGCATTATTAATAATTTTTGTAAAAAAAAAAATTATTGCGAGTATACAGTGACATCATCATTTTAAATTAATAATTGATGAGAGCTATTATGGACTGTAAGTGTTAAATAAACCCACTATCAGTGTAGGTATTCAAAATGAAATCCATTCAATTTTCAATAGATTTGCATTCAATTTGCATTCACATTCATGAAAAATTGAATGAAGTTTTACAATCAAACTGATAGTTTTTAAATAATAGACAACAGTAGGTTCCTATGTAAATATGACCTCGGCCACATTATTATTAGGTATTTAAATCTCTAATAGTACTGTCATCACTGTAATAGTTATCTAAACAGTATACATATCATTAAATTCGTATAAACACGCATATTATGAGGTTTTTAATACAATTTGAGTATTTTTGAATAAAACATGAGAGTAAATTCTTGTTTTTAGAATTAAAATTTCAAACACTGTTTATTAGCTTGTAACTAAATTAATTCATATTATATACATTTATACTATGTGTTTCAGATATCAAGCCCCGCGTGTACTGAATTGGAAGTGGTCATGATGGATTGGTTGGCTAAAATGATAGGCTTACCAGAAGTCTTTTTAGCCTCTGCTGGTCAGGGAGGAGGCGGAGTAATTCAGGTGAGCATGTTGTGATGTATTAGTTTATTTCAAAACGGGCAGTTTCCTTCAAACTGAAATTTTAAATCCTATAAATATATACCCACTGTCTTATAAATATTATACTATTATATACTTTCCCAGTTACTCTTATATGTGTTAAAAAATAACTAGTGGTATTATTCTGAGTAAAAATAAATTAATATTTTTTGTCTTTAGTTTTTTTATAATTTCCAAAATGTGTTACTTATATCAATACTAAATACAGATGGTATTTTATTTAAAAAATGCAAATGCAAATTTTAATCCAAAAATGTTTAGGCTAGTACCTAATTGCCGAGCCTTGAAAATTATACTGTGGAATTTAAACATTATTTCATAAATTTCAAAATATGCTGTTCTAAAAACCTGTTTAGTTAGAATCTTCACACTTTTACTGAATAAGCTACTACTTCTTATACCTATCAATGCAACTATAATAATAATAATAATAATACAATTAGGTATTTTATTTTATTGATGTCATGATGGACATTAATTATTCAGGTATCAGCTGATTAAAAATTTTAATGAATACCCAATATATTAGGTAGGTACATAATGTTCGACAAAGGGAAAGTGATTATTGACATTTTAAAAACTAAATATATAGTAAACACTTAATGTATTATATTTTCAAATTTTCTTTTTTTGATTTTGGTGTTTATTTAAATGGTACAGTAGGGTGTTTCGTGATAATGATCTTGACCTGGAGACCCACCAAATATAATAAATAGTCGTACTTAGGTAAAATAATATTAAATGTTTATTAAAATGAATATTCGAATACTTGTCTGAATGATTATAAAATATGTTTTTCCTAAATGCATTCTGAATACTTTTAATATACATTACCTAATTCAATATAAAAATAATTATGGGCTCTCAAATAATATCCAATATAATATATTCATTTGTTTTGATGGAAATTGGAATATACCTTTGGTGGAAAACGGTGATGCCCCGCAAGGTAGAAAGCGCATACCTCGCGATTTGCACAACTATGATATCCTAAGAAATATTGGCTGACCCGCCATCCTCATTCAAAATCGTTTATCGTTTTTTATATTGAATTATTATTGAATTCTGATTTAAGTGATTTAACACATTCGTTGCGTAACTGAGCGCCATAGGTAGGTACTCAATGATAAAGTATTTACACTCAAAACCTATATACCTACTAATTACTATAAGACGATACAAAGCAATTTTCCCGTTTTTTACTTTTCAATCTTATAAAGTTTTTAATATACAGGCACTTCAAATTCCGCGGTTGCATTTATCCACGTTTGGTTTATGATGCAGTAACTGTTGTTACTCGAAATTGTTCTTTAAATATTTAGCCATTCAAGCGTTACACTGCTATATGAAGTTCAAATACATCATGATCTTATGGAAACTAATAAAAATGAATGAATATTTTAAACAATATTGATGATGAATTAATTTTGTTCAGTACTTGTGAGTTGTGATTGTGTCGGTCAAACTATATAGTCATAACGCAGTTATTACAAAAAGATAATCCGAATCAATATTCTGTTGCAATTCCTAATCACCGATAGTATCAAAAGTCAGTCGATTTTACTAGTTAACCTTTACCACGAACTTCAGTATAAAAAAATCTAATTATAATTTTTTTTAATACATAACGCATATTATACTTTTAATGATAAATAGCTGGTATTACATCCAATCGAATATTCTGTCCATAAATTTGTCTCGTTAGGTCTGCATTATCTAGTCCGTTATATACTGCACAGTGTATACATTTATATTTGTCTTCGTGCAATTTTTTTTTTTTTTTTTTGGTGAACGCTCCAATCCCAATCTCAATTCAAACACCAATAACCTTGCAGTTAAATAATCATAAAATGTATGACGAATATAGGGCACTGCTAGCGAAGCCACTTTGGTGGCGTTGCTGGGCGCTAAGGCGCGGATGCTGCAGATAATGAAACAGGCGGACCCAACAGTCGTGGACGCGGACATCGTTCCCAAGCTGGTCGCGTACTCGTCCGCGCTGTCCCACTCGTCCGTGGAGCGCGCTGGTCTGCTGGGCGGCGTGTTGCTCCGCGCCCTGGACACGGATGGCGAGCACAAACTCCGCGGCGACACCCTGCGAGATGCCATCGCCAAGGACCGCGCGGACGGCCTGATCCCGTTCTTTGTGGTGGCGACGCTGGGCACCACCAGCTGCTGTTCGTTCGACCGCCTGGACGAGATCGCCGAGGTGGGCAGCGCCGAGAGCATTTGGGTGCACGTGGACGCTGCGTACGCTGGTAATGATGATATTATATTGTTGTTGTTGTTGTTGTTGTTGCTGTAAGCATAGCAGAGAGGAAGTCCCGTGTATATTGTTTTTCTAGGGGGGGGGGGGGAGGGGTTACAACTCACCGGGTCGTGTCGTGTCCTTATATTAAATACATAATTAACGTGTGGGTGCGTGACCAACATTTTGTTACCTATATGTATTAAATAGACGGAACACGACACGATACGGTGAGTCGTAAACTCCGCTTTAGCCTGTGCGTCCATCCCCATAGGTGGACTGGCCAAGGGAGTTAGAGAGATATAGCCGTCCTATATAGGTATCTCATCCCTGCAGAGCTGGCTCATTTTTTGAGTGACATTTAACTAGTAGTTACCTACAGCAAGTTAAGTTTTTCATCATTAATCTTAAAACTAAAAATTTGTCTACAAGGCGATCTATTTATGTGCCCACACTCATTGCGTTGACAAATATTTTTATTTTAAATAATTTTGTGTAATCAAAAGCAACATTTCTGAAAGAAACTCTATATTTTTACTTTTTGTTGTCCATGTTATTATTTTTATTATTTTTACTTTTTTGTATGACGCCTTACACTTTTGTTTTTATATTTTGAACTTTTGAAGCAGTATATTTTTTGAGTAATTCGATGTATTATAATCAAATTTCGAAAGAGTAGTTATTTAGTTATAAATAATTTATAGTGACGTGGTTTTTTTAGGAGGCCTGCTGAACTTTTGAAAGACTAAAGTCTAAAATTATCCCCGATTCACACTAGTCGTTAATGATCAAATACAGTTATTGTTGGGTCTCTATTTTTAAAAAATGTTGTGAGACTTTCAAGTCTGCGTTTCAAATTAAAGCATAAATACGAATACGTATATTAAAAAAATACTTGAGCTGCTAGATTTTTCGAATTTCCCCACATGGCCGATCCGTCTTCGGTCCGCCTTTGATCATCCCCCAATTGTTACATGGTAAGTTATTAAACGTTATTATCGAGATCTACCTGCCTAGTTCATACAGAAAAACAGCACGCGAATCAATAAGTTAAAAATAATTATGAATTATAAAAGTTATATACTTATATACGTTTTAATATGATAAATTAATTATTTATTGTCTTTAATATTGCAGGATCTTCATTTGTTTGCCCGGAATATCGTCATTATATGAAAGGAGTAGAATCAGTCGATTCATTCAATTTCAATCCTCATAAGTGGCTTCAAGTTACTTTTGATTGTTCAGCAATGGTAATTAAAAATTAAAATTAAAAAAAATTCTGTACCTATGGCTAATGAATAGGATATTATTATAAAAAATTTTCTTTATTCTATTTAGGCTTTAATGATAATACAACTGATATAAATATTCTACAATTTTTTTTTTAATACGATAGAGCATGTAAGGTAGGTACAGCCGTATATTGGCATAGGTAGGTACCTATACTCCATTATTCCTAAAAAATGATGTAATGTCTAATATTTCTGTTATGAACAATTATTTGTATGTCATAGAATATTGGTCGTCAACTATAATATTATAAGTTATATATTATTAATAGCTATTAATTATTATTTTTTATATAGTGGCTAAGAAATCCAAATTACGTGATAAATGCTTTCAACGTAGATCCACTCTATTTGAAACATGAACTTGAAGGACAAATGCCGGATTACAGAGTAAGTAGTATTCCAACAAATCGCTGTGGTCTTGTAATAAAAATCAAGAGGACATAGGACACATAATTATTTGATAACTTTATTATACATGTGTAGTTTAGATAATTTGTATGAATACATAACATTATAATTTTTTAACTTTGATTAGCATTGGCAAATACCGTTGGGCCGCCGTTTTCGTTCATTAAAAATGTGGTTCGTATTCCGTTTGATTGGTGTTGCAAACCTCCAAAAGTCCATCAGAAAAGATATAAATCTCGCCCTTGAATTTGCCAAACGATTGGAAAACGACCCAAAGTATGAACTTTTCAATGAAGTCACCATGGGGTTGGTGTGTTTTAGACTTAAGGTGAGTACTTAAGGGCTAAAACATATAAATTAAAATGAATATGGCTGGATGAAAATGATCTAACTATGATTTTTAAATTATCCTATATTTTAAATAATATTCATGAGTACCCATTGACTATTGTACATTTTTAATTAAAGACCTATAAAGTTAAAATGCATAAATATGTAGTACGTACATTGTATACTACTACCGTTATGGCCTTGTACAAAATCAAACTATAATTTTTATTCGTAGGTATAACACCGTGTTATACATTAACACCTATTATTTTTATTCTTTAAGAAAATAATTGGTCCAACTGTTCATGTTTATGTGGGGTCCATATAATACCCACCTATATAATTATACCATAGAAATTAAGTAACAAAAGTCACAAAAATCAAATTTTACAGGAGACGCTAATCAAAGTTTTTGTCACAAACGGACTTACGATTGTATATATAATACTGAAATAATAATATTATTTTGTATTATTATTCTAAATTATCAGTTATTTAATTTTCTGAACATATGTTTCATTACTCCCAATATAGTTTAGGACTTACGACTGCATAATATACTCCTTACAATCTATGGATTTATTGTGACTTGTGAGTTAGATGTACGTTTAAATATCTTTAAATAGATCACAAAAAGGATATTCTATTATAGAACTAATTCCATTATATATCAAAGAAATTTACTTGCGTTACTTGACTTCTGTGGCATTATAATGTCTTTAAAAATATTTTATACTATATACATACCTCGAACAAATACTTGAATAATTAGATTTAAAGATGAGATAAAAATATCAATGTGTCATGTACTCATTTGTCCAGCCCATATAATAATTAATATGTATAAGCACAACTAAATTTATTTTATACAAAATATAATTGTGCAGGGATCCAACGAACTCAATGAAGTGTTGTTGAAAGAGATAAATGAACGAGGCACCGTGTATATGGTCCCATCGAAAGTCAAAGGAACCTTTTTCTTGCGTATGGCTATTTGCTCGAGGTACACACAGATTGAAGATATTGACGTTACATGGAACGAAGTGAATGAAGCCGGTAAAACCGTATTGAGTAAACAATGAAATCGGAATATTATAGACCAAGATTAAAGTTTGCAGCTAAAATGAGCTCTGTTCAATATTAAGCGTTGAACATGAATGATTCTTAAAACTATAGTATCGGAAAATATAAAATAATTATCAATAAAATGAACACTAATAATACAAAATCAAATATAATTGTACTCGTACAAAGGAAAACTAGATTTTACTCTATCGTTATAGAGACTTTATTAACAAAACGTATTAATCAATAATGTTACAATACTTTTTTTGAGGTCATAATATTACGTAGTTCTCTTATTTTTATTAATTTAATAACTACTTATCTATATCTTTATCCCTTGAAGTGTAGAAAGATAAAACTATTGTATTATTCTAGCATATATAACGAATACAATTTTAGGTTAGGTATTATTTATTTATTACGAGAAATATTCCACTTAGGCAGGTAGTAGGTACATATTATATTACAATAAAAAATACATTGTAAACTTTTAAGATTCATCTCTCCGGTTTACTTTTTAAGATATATGTATTTCATACAGTAAGATTGTTACATTTATATTATTATTTATTTGTTTTAGAGTTATACTTCAGAACAAAATTATAATATTTATACTATTGTTATTAATTATTATTATTCCATATCTATATATTTAGGACGGCAATAGTTTAAAAAACATCCGAACTTAGACCATAATAATATGATGGTACAAAATAATTATATCTCTAATGTATGTTAAACGTGTTTGTAAACACTATTCAGTGTTATAACTTATTTAATTAACTAATTTTAGTGCTTTTATATACTGTAATGAAATTACCTTATAACTATTATAAATTCCAATAGATTTCAATATTATCCATTAGATTAAATCATATTCTTAGTTAAACATAATCAAATATGTATTATAATTTAGATATAACATATATATTTAAATAATTTAGTGTTATTAAAAATTATCAGTATTATCACTTCACTTGTTTATTATTCACCAATATATTTAAATATAAAGGCTGTGTAGCTATGTGACATAAGTCCCAAAGATCCCCACAGAAATATAATTCACACCAATATTAATATTTTTTATGTATTTCAAATTATTCAAAATCGTCAATAAACCATTATGTGTAATCGTACAAATCTATGTTTTTGTTCATTAAATAAAATGGACGAAACGCCTTTATTCGTAATAATAATTATAGATAAGTAGGTATAGATTATGATTTATGGGAATGTTTACTTCGTAGGTACCTAAGTATGGACACTTACAATTTAATGTTATAACACTAAAATAACTCAGACGCTCGTCGTAATCTGATGATACATTATATTTTATCGATAATGAGAAAGTTTAGAGTTTTTGAACTTTACAGATGACAGGTAGAATTCAATACCTATCTAGAATGAAGGCATGAAGCATACTGTAGATACTTATCTGGGATTTCGGCACCTAGGTCTTCCACCGCCTTATAAGGTACATTAGGTGAGTTAGGTGTTTATAATTAGAATATTACCTAGGTACTTAATGTGATTTATTTCAATATACTATAGAAAAATAACTATAGAATTAAATAATAAAGTAAAAAATAATAAGTATAATATAAGTAAATAATGGAAATATTAATATTAAGTTTAGTGAAAAGAACGAGATTTTACTATTATAGGCAATTAAAGTTTAGTGTATAAGGTACCAACAAAACAAAGAATAAAAATGAATTAGCTAGGTATAGGTAGGTATCTGAAATGACTCAGTACAATAATAATGAGCGTAAAAACTAAGTTCATTCTGGGAGTGACAGCACTGTGCACTGAAAATCTAAAGAAGATCTAAAGAAGTCTGAAAAAAGGTAATTAAAAGGTATTCTTATTTGGATACTAGGTAGTAGGTAGTATGGTACGCGCCACATCCGCATGTGTTATCTCCGTCTTACAAACGTACAACATAGCAAAAACTGTTTTGCGCGAAATAAAATCACTCGAGCTATAGTTAAAACTAAGCGCCGAAATGTTCATACTATTAAGAAGAGAACATTTACTGTGCAACATTGTTTTTATTTTTTCGATATCACAAATACAAAAACAAGTTATTTAAGTTTGAAATAATGAATTATTAAACAATAAGAACTTTTCTTGTATTTGTGATATGTAGGCAAAATTAGCCATAGGTAATTATGGAACGGATTTGAACCACTTATTTGAGAAACGACTCAAGCCCATAAAAGGTAATTATTCTGAGAAAACAAGAAAAAACTGCGAAATATGATTATTTCTCTTTCATACTGATTATTTACAGTGGTAAAAGAAAATATTTTTTTTTTGCAAATGTTTATTCATGATTCGTCTATCGTTTGATAGCACATTACACTCAATATCTCAATTAGTGATATTTTGTGACCTACGTCATTTTTCAAATAGGTGGTTCATTTTATTGTAAATACATACTGAGTTATTTCTAATCTGCGAAAAAAATGTAAATTTATTTGTTATATTTTTGTAAAAATACATATTTTTACGTATTTGGTAAATAAGTGCATAATTTTTGATTTTTTCATTGAATTTTGACTAACATTAGGTATTTTAGTATTTAGGTATCTGCTTTATCTACATTACATCCACTATGAAAAACTCCGTAAATAAGATGTTTAATAAGTAATAGGTAATGACAGACTAAAATAACAAAATAATTAGTAAACCTATTATATACCCTAATCAGGCAGTTAGGCACTATTCAATTTAAATACCGAATTATTAGGTTCTTAAAAGTTTATATGATTTTAAAATGCTCAAAAAAAAGTAAAAACCTTAAAATATTCTTTTAATAATCCCCAAACTGGTAAAATATGCTTTTTTGCTTTAAGTTGGTATCTAGGTGGATAAGAATTAGAAAATCCATAGTAGGAACTATTTAAAATAATACTAAAATTGATATTTTTTGTTTAAATTTTATTCAAATTTGAATTTCAAATGTCAATAAAAACAAATAATGTATACCTATATATTTTTCAGATTTTTTGATTTCAGTATCAACTACTTATGAGGCACAACGCATTACATTTTTAAACCCAAGTTATAAATAATTAACAAATTAATTTATAAAATATGTTCGTCATTTTGAGCTACAAGCTATTATAATAAAAAAGAGTGAATGTGTATTTGCAATATTTTATTTTAAATTAAAATTACTTACTTCAAATTGTGAAAAGAGTAACTCATAACTAATACAAGGTATTGTAATATATTTTTTTATTTTTCGACAGGGCTAACATTTTTATCAACACCATAAAAATAAAAATCAAACATTTTAAACGTCTATATTAAATAGGTAGTGTTAATTGGGTAAAATAGTAAGTATTATGATAATTTTATTGAGCATAGAAAGTTATAATTTTTCAGGTTTATTTCATTTTTATAGTTTTTATATGTAATTTCCTCAAAATTTGTACTTGAAATAATACTCTTAAAAATAACCGTGTTTACATATATATATTTTTGGGTACAGAATGAACTACTTACTTGAAATCTTGTTCAAATTTTTTAATTCTCAGCTACAAAAATTGAACATCTCATAAATTGTTGACTACAAAATAATTTGTATATTTTCAATTTAAGAAATTTTGTCAAAATTTGAACTTTAAATGCTTATAAATTTATTTTTTTAACTGATATTGAAACAACGTGTGAGTCAGGGGCGTCATTTCAACTTTTCAATAGGGATGCAAACATTTGAATCAGGCCAATTGTTCCCTCCACCAGGCCATTTATATATCCTGTTTATTTAGCGGAACTTAAAAAAATTTCCAATCGCTTCGCTCACTCATATCCCCACATTTTAATATTCAAATACTCATTAATACTTTTTTTTCAAACATATTTAACCAATTTCATATATATAAAAAAAGATATATTTAATAATATTCATTGCCTAATCATTGTCACCAACATAAAAATAAAAATAATAGATAATATTAATAACTATTAAGTATACACCAGATTCAACGACGCGAAGCGAGACGGCGCAATAATAACATTTCATACGGGCCAACCAAACATTTAAAAAAATAGGGCTGCCAATGTATAGTCTGAATCCCCCAAATGACGCCCCTGGTGTGAGTTGTATTAAATTTTCAAGCTTCTAGAGCTAGACTCAACAAATAAAATATTAAAAATATATAATATGTATGACTTAATTTGTTAAATTAAATTTTTTTTTAACACTTGTGTACTAAAAATTTTTTTAAGACTTTTTCTTACACAAAAAACTATTATTAACTATAAAATTAAAGTAGAATACAAAATTATTGCAGAAAAGTTACAATAGTAAAATTATTTTATTTCATTAGTAAATGAATAATTAAAAATTAAAATAAGAAATATTTTAAGATTTAAACATGTATAAAGCACAAATATACGATTAACATGTATTTTAAATTATAATATCAAGTCTTGGAATACTTAAATTTAACAATTTATGAAAATCTCTAGCCTAATAATATTAAGTATAATAGTTCAAAAGTTATAAGATATTACCAAAAGATTTTCTTAATAAGGAAATGAAACTTTTGCATAATAAAGTACATTTTTTGTAGTCATGTATATTATGTTCATGAACAAACACTGGATAAATTAATAATTTCATTAAATTTAATTTAATTTAAAAAATATACATAATCTTATCTTAGCACAAAATTAAATTTGTATTTAATTTGTGTTTCTTACCCATTAATCTGTATTCAAAACTTAATTCTAAAAAAACTATCATAAGTTTTTATAAAAATGAATAGTAGATATAAGTTTATTGGATTGTATTCTATAGTATTGCCGGGTATGGGGGTGGCGTGCTTGAAGACGCCAAAAAATATGGATCAGTAGGTGCCCATTTTTTATTATATCGAGTCAATACTGGTGTTAACACATCTTTACGTAATTTCCGCATGCCATTTATGGTTGCAATTTTAATAATGTTGGCCAACTCACTATAATATTTCACAAAGTTTTTATCTGTTTCGATTAAATCATCAACATCAATATTCAAGTAATTATCGCTATTTTCATCATCATAAACAGAACGTAATGATACAACAGGAACGGATTCTTTAACTGTAGATTGATTAGTGTTTTCTAAATCTGTTGAAGTTTGTAATTTTTCATAGAGTTTCTTGTTATACTCAATAGTTAATATGTATTTAAGTTGTGTAGTTTCAGTGACTATGTCATCATCAATCAACAAAAAACGAAAATAACTTGTGGTTTTCTTAGTAGATGTTTCATTATTGTTTATTTGATAATCTAATAGGCAATTATCATTAGAAGAATTATCACAAAACGCTTCATGAAGTGCTTCAAGTAGTAATTTAATTGAATTGTTATCACTAACATCAGATGATGGTTTATCTTCTTGGCTATTACTGGCGTCATAGTTATAAGCTTGAACTGCGGCCAGCTGCACTCGACGTACATATGTTACTGTATAATAACAAAGAATTCATATTTATACAATTTTCAAAACTTAAATGTTAAAAATTAAGAAGACGCCACACCCGCATGTGTTGTCTCCATCTTACAAACGCTTAACATACCAAATTTACGCTCAGCAGTTCACGTTTTATGCCGTTAGCTTAAAAATTAGAGTAAATCAATAATATGAAACTTGATGATAAGAACTTTATCTGTGTTTTGTTGGAAGTTTTTTTACGACAATTCAGTTTTTAAGAGAGTTATGCTTGTATAATAAATGTAAATTAAAAATGCTCATAACTCACTTAAAAACTGAATTATTGTAAAAAAACTTCCAACAAAATATAGATAAAGTTCTTAACATAAAGTTTCATAATAGGTCGATTCACTCTAATTTTTAAGCTAACGGCATAAAACTTGAACTGCTGAGAGTAAATTTGGTTTGTTACTCGTTTGTAAGACTGCGAAAACACATGCAGGTGTGGCGTCCTCTTATGAATTTGTGTTGGATGACAACTAAAATAATAGTTAGTAAAAATTAAATCAAGATTGAAACTTAATTTAAAAAATAAGTTGTTAGTTAAATATAATTACAATTTTAATCAATGATGTATAATATACTACAGTTACTCTTATTGTCGGTAATTCTGACAACGACTCTAATAGCTAGGTAATGTCACTAATGCCGGTACAGAACAGTTATTGCGGAGAATGGATGTATAATTTTTGTACTTGGCTGCTAAGTTTAGTTAATGTAATTTATCGATATTTCCTAAGCTGGTTATCAATTATTAATTATCTTGATTTATCAAATTACCCTTTCTCTTTAACACAATATTTGTTTACTATTTAGCTTTCTACACACTTTGAGCCATGTTGCAGTATCGATGTGAAGTATGTGATCTTTACAGTTATTAATAATGGAATATGGGTAAAAAGTTAAGTAAATCCATTCATTTTTTATTGCTTAAAAAACATGGAGACAAATCATTTTGCAAAGACAGCTAGTAGAAGTAAAAAATTCAAAGATTATTTTAAATACAACAGGTTAATAGTAAATTCCTAAAAATTATAAAACCGTTTATAAGTATGATATAATAACAATAATTGGGAAAGATCACCTTATTAAAAGCTTAAAAGTTTATGCATGAAATGTCCTTTACTATGTAACTAACAGGGATTTGAATAAGGAAGAAAAGGAAACTATTATAAACGGTCAAATAATTCTGACAATGACATAGACCTAGGTATATTTTTAATTAATAGTATTATTAAAAAAATTGAATCCTTTTTAGTAATTATGTCTTGTACTCAATAAATCAATAACAAGAAAAAAATGATAAAAACATCGAATAAGAAACTAAAAGTTACAAATGTTGGAACTACTGTTCGAATACTGATCTAAGATGTTGACAAGGCTAGAAGATCACCTAGGAATTTATTGGCTGTTGTCACCGATGTTTAAGATGGCACATACAAATGATGTAAGTGATTAAATTTAAAAATGAGAAAATGTATACATTTTTTAAGTTGTATAGATAAGACCCACGAGTTTGTTTGGGATACAAAAATCTATCAGTTCTAAGAATTGAGCTAAAAAGTGTGTATCCTAATCACTAATCATATATATTTTAGACCCTATACTATAATATAATATGTATAAAAGTAAATAATTATAGTAATACTCTTAATTGCTCACCATAATCCATCATTGTCGTGTCAAAACATTGATCTGTTATAGCATTTAACATCATTGCCATCATAGCTCCTTGTGGTGTGGTACGGCTTAATTTTGAACTTAGAATTCTTACTACAAACTTTTTGTTTAAAGCAACATTGGTATCACTTGGTTTGGTGGTATTTTTATTACCAGTTGGGAGGAAGATTCCAGTTACTGAAGCCAGTTGTGACAATATTTTGGTGTCATCCTTACAGTCAGTTGACTCAGTAGTTATTGATGCTGTTTGTTCAGATGAAATTAAACTGATTATAGCACGCATGCGCACTGTAGCAGATGAAGTTATTTGATTACGGCGATCATCATAATTATTAATGCCATTTTCCAAATCGATAAAAAGCTCAACACTGATATCGTTAGTCACATTACCAACTTCTGCCATGTTTAATTTTGACAGTTTAGTTAGTTGCTTGTATTGAGTATATGCTAGGACCAGATGTGGAGGTGGGTGTAACATTGTTGGCGTAGATTTCAACGAAATCTTGAGTTTGTAAAGCTAGATAAATAAAAAATTTATTTAAAAAAAATTAGAAAAAAAAAATTAAAAAAAAATTAGAGTTTATAGCTAAGGGCTTATTCTAAAGCGCATTTGGGAATATTTTGCACAAGTAGTTGAAAAAATTAGACACATACTTGAAAAATATGTTTTGTATATTTTATATTTTCATCATTTATGAATTATTTTCAAAATAATGGATAAAAGTAGTATTATAATGAATTGCTATTATTTTGTATTATGCATGCAGATTAAAATGATTTTTCGCAGCCAAATACTCTACAGGTTGGAATTAATCAACCATAATGTATGAATTATTATAATATTTTTAGTGCCATATTAAGACTTGACTATGTCACACCCACATGTGTTATCTCGGCTTACAAACATACAACATAGCAAATTTGCATTTAATAGAAGTAACTCTGTGACCTTTGATAAACGAGTGAACCAGTTATCAAACTTATAGGTAAGAATATAATTTGAGTTATCTCGTGGATTGTTTGAAATATTTAAGTTTACAAGCAAGTTATGAGCATTTTTAAATTGTTATATTTTTCTTTTCATTCATTTTTAAATTATGTATTATTTTTTCTCCATGTTATACACATTTAATATAGTTGAAACCATTCAACACAATTAATGAAAATACCTACTTAAATATTATGCGGCTGTTTATTGGTTTATAATTTATTTTTATCATTTATATTTATTTTGTGGGCCACAATCATGTAAACAATTTAAAATACGTCCAGAATCACTGATTTGCGTTAATTCAGCCAGAATTAATTTTTATTGAGAGAATTTGATAATGACCATTTTTTTAATTTGTCCGCCGCATCAATAAAACTATTAATGCAATGAGAAATTTGAAAATATATTTAGTTTCTTATAAAGTTATACTGAGATCAATCATCCCACTTTATCATTTTGACTCTCTCAGATTCAATTTAAAATTTGAAGAATGTTAAAACAGTGATTGACAAAAAGTATATACGTTTTAGTGAAACATTCTAGTTGTTGTTTTTCATATTATTGGTGAGCATGAGGGTGTGCTCCGCGATCTCATTAACATTACATTCACTTAACTGTCATTTACTTATCTTGTGCAGTTGAAAAAAATGCTAAGAATAAACCCTAGCTATTCTATATATACCATACCTGAAAGTTAACATAACATTCATATAATTGATCTGCTAACAAACAGTATTGCAATATAGATGAACTGTTATTATTAATTTTATCCCACTTAGTTAAACATTGTATGTAAAATGCATCACTGGCCACATATTGTTGCCAATAACGTTCTTGAATAATTTGATTGGTTTGATACTGACGACGTTGTAATTGTTGAGGGCGTTGTTGTGTCCTACGTAATGTTGTTTCACCGTATCCTGAATTCATGGATGAATTATCTTGTTCCAGTAAAATAACTTCGGGTGCTTTATCTGGACGGCTACACTGTGCTATTATTGACCACCGAACCATAAAATTATTTCTAGACACTGGTAAATTGTCTTCATATAAATATGGTAAGGCGAGGACAAACTTGTCATTCCGAGGAAGCTGTACATTTGAACTCAAATCATCAGTGGGTAAAGAAGTTAAGGTAGAACTCTGAAAGTCTGATAGTTGCACGCGTTGTTGTAATGGACCTTAGAAAAAATAATGAAACAATATTAAAGAATGATACTTAACTACCTAAATAAAATTGTAGCCCAACACACCAACTGTATGACGTGAAAGAGAGCTTATGGCTTGTCGCAGTCGAGGACAAAAGTTTGCTATAGCTAAATCGTTAACGGCGTCTTGATCTGGCAATAATTGCTGACTTATATCATCATTCTGGTCGTAGTCATTACGACTGATGCGATCGTGGCTTGAGTAGTCAACCACCACCATTATTACACTGGTGAGTGGTGAATTCGTAGTATGACTATAACAAATTACAATATTGGTACGGGAACCCACTCATATGGTTGTCGAACTTTCAATAACTGAGGAAATTGACAGTTGATAAATTATTAAAAACGTACATTGTTCGTAGACTGTAGAGAAATAGAAATATAAAAAATCACGTTATGCGCATATTACAATGGTTTTTATCAGTATAAATAACTAATAACCCATTATCAATAAACATGCCTCGAAATTGATAAAAACTGTTATCAATAATCTGACACCAGACGACCGAACACGATCATTTAATATTAAATTTTGGCTTCGGGCATCGAACATATTAAATTACATACAGTACAACTTGCCTTCAAAACACAAAACCAACGAACTGAGCATAAATGTTTGAAATTCAAAGATTCAAATTTTTTTGATCCATCAACTAGATTCTATTAAATAATAATGTATTATAGACTATTGTCTATACTTTTATAGTGTACGGTACACTGTGTACCTACTCATAGACTACCCATAGTGATTAAAGTCCAAAACGGAAATAATATTTGAACGTCGTTGATAAAAATACTAATTTAATACTATTTATTCTAATACATACTATTTTGATTTTAATTTAAAATATTTTTTGAATTGAATACAATATGCATATTTTTATGAAGTATAATTATTATAATTTTTATTGCGAATAATCCTTACATAAAATGACTGATTAAAACTGTTGAAACAAAATAAGGGTTCTAATTGTCAAGCTGTAATAACTCATTGTTGAAAGTTAAAGAACAAAGTTAAGAAGCTAAAAAAAAGTAGGGGATCCACGATAAAAGTAGATATAAAACAGGATTGCAAGGATGAAAAAAGTATAAGAAACACTGAACTATAACAATATGGTACATGCTTCACAAATTCTTAAGCATTAAAGTTTTGTTGAAAATGTTATTTTATCGTTGTCAGTTTTGAGATCTCCAAAGCAGGACATGATATTGAATGACCTATTTCTTTAATATTTTTAAATTTTGATTGTATTTATTTTTAACGCTTATAGAAATACTTAAATTAAAAAATGTTCTTATTATGTATTGATTTTTTACTTACTATATTATATACTATACCTACTTTTCACTTGAATGCATTTTCTTCAATATAATTTTATCAGCATTATTAATTTTTTGTAAATGTTTTAATATTAAATAATACAATATTAAATGTTATTTTCTTTCAGTTTCCATTGGCCGTGAGCGATATAAGAAGCCCTTAGATCATATACTAGTATTTGTATTTCCATACTTATTAAATATTATATAAATGTTAACAAATACAGAGTTTTTTTATACCTACTTTTGCAATATTATTTTGTCTAACTTTTATATAACAAAATTATGGATGGGAGAATAAAATAATATTAATACCTTAAGTAATACCATTGATTTTATAATGTACTACTACTGTGATGGTATTTACTAAGACATTTAACTGTTGATAATATGTACCATGTTTGATTATTGTATTACAGGAGATATTATTATTATTATTATTATTATTATTATTATTATTATATGGTATATTATATGATTTTGGGATTGTACTTTTTGATAATGGTTGATTTATAACAATAAATAATAAAATAATAATAAATAATACAAATAATTATAAACAAACCCATGTACAATTATTTCTTTCATCCACACAAGTTTGAAAGCCATAGCATTAGAATATAATTAAATTTTATTTATGAATTAAAAAAATAAATTAATATTATCTTTTTTACATTTACTAGTTTTTATTGTATAATTAAAGGTTTTTAGTGTATATTTGAAAATTTTTAAGCCAATATAAAGCAAACTGTGTAAGCCCAAACGTTTTTAAATGTTCCAAAAACCCATTCAAATTGTTTTTTTTTTGTCAATGGTCTAATAATTTGATACACTTGTGTTTTAGGAATTCTTGATAAAATAATAAAATTCATATTTGAACACTTTTTTTAGTTTGAGTAATTACTAATTAGTATAATTCAGATTTTAAGGCAAATACGTTTTTGGTCTTGGATAGATATAAAAACAATAATTCTACATAATAAGACATGAAGCAGTTTGCCTACACTTAAACGTAACACAGCAACAAGCCTGAGACGTATTAGTCAACTACAATAATATGGCCTGAGTCCTGAATGATAATGTACAAAATTCTGTTATAGACGACTTATTAATAAATAATCATTATTTTTTTATTTCAACAGATTTCATAAGAAAAAAGTTATAATTAGAAAAAAATATTTGACCCTGACATTATATTTTTCGGACATTCTCATATTTCAAAAATTATATTTTATATTTTAACAGATAATTTTTATTCTTCAAAACTGCATTTAATTTGAAAATAATCCATGGTTCAGTTGGTAGGGCATTCACTAAACTATCCAAGTTATTGATTATAAAGGGTTTGATTCCTCTCAAATAATATTCGTTTATTCTGTTTACTTAATTTTTATTTCTAGTTATATAAAAATGACAAAAAAGAAAAAAAAGAATCTATAAATGTAATCTTTTTTTTTTAAATAAGTAAATTAAAATATACAGTTTCTGCAGTTATTTGATTTTATGATAACATAGTTTGACTTAATTTATGCAATACTAATAAATAAATAATAAGTTACATTTTAACATTTTGAGTTCAATATTAGTGTATATTAAAATGGTTGATTTGATTTAAAAACTATTTAAAACTAAATTCTAATGTTATACAATTGTGCAATTTTAAGTAATGAGCTAATTAATTAAATGTATAAAAAGCATTAAATATTAAAACAATTAGCGTAAAAAAAAATACAATGAATTATAATTTATATAATAAATTTATCAGTCTAATAATGAACATAATAATTATTATTTATCTCAAAAAACTGTATACAAAAAGAAACATTAATAATTATTATCAATAAGTCTTAATTTAGATAAAACACATTTAATGAACACAAAATAAAAGATGGTAAGACTGGAAAATGTTTGAAGAGAATTTAATCAACCTGTAAAAAAATCAAATATATATATATATATTAGTACATGAGTATATGTTTTCTGATTTTCATATCCAACAAAAGAAATAACAACATAACATAAAATATTTTATTTTATGAATAAATATGAAATATAGAAAATCATATGTAGTCATACAACTACATTATAATCACATCTGTTTTCTTACTTTTTAGTTTTTATATATTCATGTCTCATTATTAATTATAAAATAAATAAGTTATTAAGATATTTGAACAGGAAGTATAAATAAATAAACATTGCAACCTCATGTATGTGACCTATCATTGGAGTATTTTTTAAATTAAATACATTTATTTAGGAAATTATATTATTTAAGATTGGTATTGATACATCTAAACATTTAAACACAATTTAAATACTTACTGGTACATTACAATATTTTGTTAAACAAACATATTTCACTTCAGCTACATGACACATGATTCTTATTGCTAAATTTATTGTACATCGTAACCGCAATAAAAGTTGTTCTTCATTTAATAGCATAAATGCTACACCATCCACTTCCTGATATATTGATTAAATATTACATTTTATAAGGTTCAATGATGACTGTTGATAGATTTAATTCAATATTATTTACCTCAGCAAATAGCTTCAGTCCAACATCTTTACAAAACAAATCATTAGTCAAATATTTATAAACATCCTCAGGAGACCAATATTTTGGATTTGACGTGACCTTTATATATTCTATTTGTCCAATATCAATTTTAAATTTCTTAAATCGTGGATTTTGGCGATAATAGTTTTCAAAAGTTTTTTTCCTAGAAATAAATTTCAAATCGTTGTTACTATTGTTTGGGACTTGTTACATTTGCATATTGTTTAATAATGATTGCAGAATAGTCTAAATGAGATATAAATTTGTTTTAAGTTGTAAAGGATTAACATATTACAATTTTAATTGTATATTTTCATATATTTTACTGTATTCCAAGCAAAAACATATATTTAACACATTTTGGCAATTCAATTGTTATTTGTGGCATATTAACGTTTTCGTTCTATATTTTTTTTTACTTTCATGCGTTGGTCAATATAACTTATCATAGAACCTGGAAGGGCAGGGCAACTACGGAAATACCTAATTGTTCCTCCGTTTAACAAGGTTTATTAATGAAGATGAGATAATAATATTAATAGCTGGATTTGGTAACATGAGAAATACTTAATTATTCCTCCGTATCCTATAAGTTATCGACTTAGCGTTTATAGTATTGTTGTTGTCAAAAATTTTTCTAAATTAAAATGAATAATCAAATTTTTTAATTGCCATTAAAAAATATTCAGTTGCATATTTCGGTTATTTCAAGAGCATTTGTGCATGCATATTTTGTATAATGTATGTGCAATAAGTCCCAAACTACTACAAAACTATTACCATGTTGAATATATTAAAGTATGTTAATAATAAACAATATACCAATCCTCTAAAACGACGAATCGTTTTTCTTCAATGGTTTCAACTTCAGATTTAGTATTGCTAAAAATCTCCATACTATCCATCCTCCTAAGATTATTTTTTCTTGCTATAATTTCAGTTACAAGTGCTGATTCCAGTTCAGTAGGACATTGGTTCAATCGAAATATGTGTGCATCTAAATCCAATATACTTCCCATATAATGCTTATACCTTGCAACTAAAGGTTTATTTGACCAATCTAATACTTTGTTAGCTATAAATAGATTATAAAAGAACAATTTTAAATACTTCCTTTATTTAATATTGATTAGTTTAAGTTGAAAAAAAAAGTTATTTGTGACAGAAACAACAATGATCTAATACTTACCAACTCTAGCAATTTCTGAGTGTGTAATTTTACGGCGCACAATATTACATCTTAAGTTACCATCAATTTGATGCTTTTTTGTTTTTGATTTTGACCTAATGGGCACAGTATTCATTTTGAGTTTTGAGGGCGGTACTGTTAACACGTAGAAAAAAATTATTTTTTTAATATACCAAAAAACTATAAAAATATATTTATATCTAATAGATTCTCAATAACTCAAAGTTTATTAGGATACATACAACAACCATACACCATAACAAATTTGTTCAGTAACACCGATTTTGTGATGTTAGCTTTAATTTTAGAGTGAACTGTTTTATTAATAAACTTCAAGGCAAGAACATTATCTTTGCATTAGGTTTGTATAAAGATTGTTTGTATATATCTTTAATATTTATGAAATCCATGAGTATGTTGAGTATTAAAATGTATTAATGCTCATAACTGCACAATACAATAATACTGCATAATAACGTTAACAGATAATAATCATAAATAATCATAATTACTAATGGCCTAGTAGGTAATGTTGAAAAGATCAACAGCACAAAAAAAAAATAAGAAGTCTATAGTAGGTGTGTATCCATACCCCATGTATTAAACTTGAGGGACATATTAAAGGTACTACCACATGTATTCTATTGATTTTTATAGAACTATTTTTATAGTTGTGTAATTTTTGTATACAATAAGTAGTATTATACCCATGGCTGATGTCTTTTGACTGTAGATTCTATATAAACAAATAATAGCCATGGTTTGCTAAAAACATTCAAAATTTGAATTATTGAGATATTTATTCGTTTTACTGTAAAGTTTTTTTTAATTGCTTTATACTTTATTATAAAGTTAGGCATTTGAAAAATTTAACAATGACTATTATAAAATATCAATATAAATATGTTTTTAAATGTAAAATATACACTAACTATTACAAATAATATACACTCACTTTTATCTTGTGTTATATTACAACCATGAGGACACTCTGTATCTTCAGTGGTCATAAAGAATTCACACATGCCAGATAGATTACAAAGAGCAGAACAATATGTTTTAGCCATCTTCTTAGATTCAGGAAGAAGAAGACACTCGGTGGAACTACTGCGAGTTTTTTTCATTACACTTAAATAAAATAGGTTCATATAATTTCATTCTATTTTGTTCTTATCATAATGTGATCAAAAATTGAAATACTTACGAGGTGGTAATCCACATTTCAACACCGCCAGGCCCGTTGAATAACATGTTTTGAATTTTTTTTATTTTTTTTAATGCACTACAAGGAAAATAATCTAAATCAACAAATAGGGTTAATGCTTCCCGTAGTATTGAGGATACAGGACCAGGACCAATACTATCTGGTAATTGTGGAATTTTCTTCTTTACTACATGTCCGCCAGGATAACAATCTTTGTTAAAGTAAATACACATTTTATAGGAATTTTTAGAAAACATATTCGAAGAATTTCTAACTACATTTTCTATTGTTTTTTCAATATGATTAACTTTTTTATTTTTTTTTGGGTTAACCACTTTTGCACTTTTCATTTTTTCTGGTTTATTATGAACTTCTCCTAGTTGAATATCAGCTTCTTCTGTTTTAAAATCAACTTCTTCTGGTTTAATATCATCTTCTTCTGGTTTAATATCAACTTCTTCTGGTTTAATCTCAACTTCTTCTGGTTTAACATCAACTTCTTCTGGTTTAATATCAACTTCTTCTGGTTTAATATCATTTTTTTCATCAATGAATAATGCATCATGAAATTCTTCATCTAATTCAGGTTCACTTTTAGTGTCTAAAATTAAACCATCATCACATTCATCATCACTATCTTGTTTAATCTCTATTTCTGAAGTTGTAGGTACATAATTATCGGAATCAGAATTAGAACCAGGATCAGAATTAGAAGCAGAATCTTCAGACTTAATATCATCTTCATTAATTTCTTCTTCTTTTTCTTCAAAACCATCATCAAAACTTTTTTTCTCTCTAAAACAATATTAAAATTAATAAAATAGACAAAATCAACAAAAAATATAAGCACCTTCTAAAATTTTTACCTTTTGCTGAAGTGATAAAAGATTTCTCCTTTTAAATAATCTGGATATTTTGTTAAATTATCTTGGTCTGACTGACTGAAGTCTATATCAATATCCGATGAATAATAACAATGTTCAAAATCTTTAGAATTATTGTACGGAAGCTTTGGAACGCTCAAAGAATAATTGTGTTTGTTACACCAACCAGCTGGAAAAACTTCATCTGAATAAACTGAACGTAGATGGAGTAATTCTTGACAACTAATTTCATAGAACATATAATTCATCAGTTAATTTCTACTAAATTTTTATTTTTCAAATGCATTACCAACTCGTCCGATCAAAAGACAACAACATCCAATGGTCAGCAAATCCTTTAACTGTAGCGACACGAATACAATCAGTATTCAAAGGATCAACAGCTTCTAATTTCATACCCATATGAACATTGGTAATCTTTTTTCTGCATAAATTATTTACAGCAGCAAAGTTGGCTTTTTTTCTTAACAAATATTTTGACCAAGAAAATTTGTACGGCTTATTCCAATCTGTCGGAGTTTTTAACAAAAATTTGTGTTTGCTTGCCCAACCTGAAATTATATTATGACAAATATGCATAAAGCTAACTACAAAGAAATCTATTTTTCAAACCGGCATGAAATAAATAAGGATTTTCTTTTGTAGCCACAAAACTGATACGTTTGTTTTCATCAATTTCATTATCCACTTCAACTTTAAAATAACGGTTATCATAAATCTTAACAATTGTAGCAACATAAAATACCATCATTGAATAAGGATTTATTACTTCCAACATTTCTCCAACCTTATAACTGTGCTGTTCAGGTGTTTTTGGCTAAAACAGAAAAATAAATCTAAACATTGTTCCTCAAATATATATTATGACAAATAGAAGGCGCGAGAGGAATGATACATAGAACCAAATAAAAAGGCTTTTTTTTTCTAAAAACATTACCTACTGGCTTAGGAAAACAATGGGGGACAGAATGGACAAGTGTACTAAGGCGTCGGTTGCAACTTGTACCGTCGCCGGTTCGAATCTCAGTAACTGGCGGTATTTTTCTCCGAGCAGACACCTCTGTCTGGAGGGAGTGGCACCGCCATCCCATAACCGGGCATGGCAGAAACCTACGGGTGCCTAATCAAAATTCTGCCAAATGGGCGTCCGAACTAGATCTTCGGGCTTACGAAAAATAAATAAAAATAAATGAAAACAATTTAATATAGCTGACAGGAGAAAGAAGATTAATATCCATAAAAATACGTAATCTTAAGAAATATGAATTTTTTAAATTAAAAGGATGCCAGAAGGACTTACACCTGTTGATTTAATTAATTTTTTTTGGTGGTGGGTGTTGAGTGGTTGTTGCCATGGATACATGATGTATGGGTACTAAGTTGTACAATACTTTTGGGAATTGGGTATTTACCTACCTATAATATGTTATCAATTTTAGCATGAATAAACACTACACTTGAGTTCACTATACTTCAAATAAGATAGTATAGAACTGTACTTAAATTAAATGCTTTAAGAAATTTTCTGATTGCAATTTACATTTATATACAATGCCATGTTAATACTCTATATTGATAAATGATATTAAAACCCGTCAGCTGTCAGCAGTCTACTCGGAGAGCAGATGAATTTTTTCAATATATTTTTAAGTTGGTTTTAGATTTAATAATTATTCAGATAAATAAATGTATAGACAATAGTTTAGAAGTTATGAAATATTTAGCTTTCCTTTTTATTGAAATAATCAATGAAATAAAAATAAAACCTAACAGCATTTCAAAGAATGCCCAAAGCATTAACAATCATATATTTATTCTTTATTTAAATATTTAATGTCGTCTAAATTTGAACTTTAAATAGCAATAAAAAAAAACTATGTTTATACATTTTTTGATGACAGTATGAACTATTGATGAGATACCTTGTTTTACATTTAGTATCCTTACTTAAAAAAAATCGATAAATTTGTATCTACAAAATAATTTACATGTTTTCAAGTTTTTGAAGAATTTAGTAACTTTTAACTTCAAAAGCTTAAAAAAATTACAGTGAAATTTTTATCTTATCTTCTATTTATAGATAATTTTAACTATCAATATTTTTTGTTTTTTTGTATGAATATCTATAAAAAATGAGTACTGAATCAAAATGATTGAAAATTAAATATAAGGTTTCTCATAAGTTGTTATGATAACAGCTCAAAAATATTGATAACAACAACTCTTTTTATAATCATTAGGAGTTCAAATTTTCACAAAATCATCAATTCATCAAATTCGTGAAAATCTTCAAATTATTTTCTCTGTATAATATATAGATTTTTTAGAGGTATGTGGTGCCATATGTATGTTTTTACCTAGTTTGGCCAAGTATTTGTAAGTTACATTGGTGCCACTGCTTTTGAAGTATAATTTATGTTAAATTTATTGCGATTTAATATTAAAAGTATTACTAGGAATATTTTTATTAATATAAAGATAGTTAACTTAAATATATAATTTAATACCTTTAACACATTCAGTAATACACAAGAATCGATAGAATTTTCTAAACTAGCATCGAAATTCATTACTCTCCATGGAAGTCCTAAACATAAATCAATACCGATTATTCAATAAAGTACGAACACTGTATTTTAGTGAAATACCTTTTTGTTCTGCCCATCCGAATGGAAAAACACGTTCATTTAAATAAAATAACCAAAATGGTTTCTCTTCAGGGCTATTTATTCCTTGCATTTGTAAAAATAACCTTCCTCCCACATTTCTAAGCACCTAAATATTAATAAATATTCAATTAAAAATAATAAATTACTCAATATTGGCAATGTTTAGTGCCATAGAAGGCGGTAATAATATTAATATTATGGAATGAATTGTACTTTTGAAATCCAAACACGATAAGGGTATTCTCTATCTTGAACTTCTACAAACATGCCACACTTGAATATATTATGAATTGGAGCACCTCCCTGAAATATAAATATTTGTTATTTTGGTATTGACATTTTGAAAGCTGTTTTGAACGTTATACAATTAATAAAATATAAAAATATACCATTTGTAATACAGCACTTGATACAACATGCTCACAATCTTGAACTTTTTCTTTAATAACTTCTGGTTTGTAGCGCGAAAATCTATCAGGATAAGGAGGTATCAGTTTTTTATTATTTTCGCTTCCCCAGTTTAAAGAATGAATGCGTGGTGACTTAACTTCTAACCAAAAGGAGTGTTGATCATTGTCATCACCAAAATAATGCAAACTGGAACAAAAGACTGTTAATTATGTATTCAATAAGATGAAAGTTTTTTTTTTACATACTTCAATAAAACGCCCTTTGATGAACATACACTAGCAAACCAATATCCACTTTGATCTTCATGTTCAATTTCCACCACCGAGCCAATTTCTATTCCATTCAGTTCACTTTTACAAATCTGTTGATAAAATTGAATTTGATACGTAAGTAATTTTTGATTACAAAATACCTATACAACTTCCTATTTCTTACATATCATAGATTACAACTTACATGATAAAAAAAATCTTCAGGCACTTCTTCTGAATTTCTGGCAGTGAGATATTTATTCCAATCAAATATTTTTTCTACAAACAATTAATATTTAAATAATGATTTGTAAAGTATAAAAATAAAATTTAAGCTACTTATAAAATGTATATAAAAATACTTTGTTTTTCAATATTATGCGATTTACCTAGAACAAAATTAATTGCAAAATAATGTTATTTTGATGATCGGACTTACACAAAACAGAAAATAGAATGTACCTAGGTAAACATGAAATTAATATTTATTTTTATATTTTGGTTGATTCAATTTTATACTCTTACAGAATAGTATTTAAAAAATGTATATAATAATTTGTTCTAAAGTCCTTAATTGGTTTGAAGTACCTATATAAACATTCAATTTGTTAAGCTCGTTATTTGATACCCAAATTGCACAATTATTCATTGTGTTCCTACTTCTTAAAATCAATAATAGTACAAAAAACGACTGTCATTCAAAGCCAATGCTTGGTATACTCACCCTCGAGCAAATCATCAGGTGAACTTGATGGACGCTCAGGCAAATCTTCAGGTGAAATTGACTGACCCACAGGTGAATCTTTAGGCAAACCTGACTGATTTTCGAGCAAATCATCAGGTGAACTTGACTGAACCTCAGGCAAAACTCCAGGTGAACTTGACTGAACCTCAGGCAAAACTTCAGGTGAACTTGACTGAACCCCAGCCAAAACTTCAGGTGAACTTGACTGATTCTCAGGTAATGCGTTTGGTGAACTTGACTGCTCCTTAATCAAATCGTCTGGTGTAAACCCACTCATGATATTGAGAAAAGAGGATAACTTATAAGATACAATAGAACACAAATCTAACGTTGTTTTGTAGGAACAATAATGGCTACTAACGCTCAAAATTATAGTACATTGTACATTCACACGATAAACTGAATAATTTTTTAATTTATATTTTCAGTGTTCCGCACCGACATGCAGAAAATAAAAACTACGTATTTTGTATCATTTTCATTATTGTTAACACGGATTTCCGAAGTCAAATAAAGTATGCATGCGGATCTAGTATCTATTATCTAAGCGTCGTATCGAGATATCGGGTAATGGAGGGAAGGAAACAACAGACTTCCGACGCTACGCTCTCTTTTCCCTCCCCTCATCAATATCAATAAACTGTTATCATTGTAAAACGTTTATGCAAACGGCTTGCATCGACTCATCGGCGCATCTAGTTAGGTTTTTGTTATCAATATGAAGACTGATAATTAATATTAAATACGCAAACTGAAATAATTAATAAATTAAAAGTAAAAAATATGATAATATTATGTGTAAATGTATAATAACTTTTCGTTAGCGTTTGAAGTTACGTTGTTACGGACATCGTCAAAATCTCCAACATTTGTAAATTATTTTGTAGTTAAAAATTAATGTAAGGTTATTTCTAATATGCATACCTGATGTTGGAACATTTAACGCAAGGTTCCTTACTTCCTGTTATAACCAGTGGCGCCGAACTACTTTTTGGTAGGTGGTGCAAACACAAATTTTAACCACCCACCCACCACTCACTAGACACCCACAAAAATAGGAAATTAGGTTCAAAGTCAACATTTTCAATAAAACTTTAATAAAATATTGTTTTATACATTAATCTATACATCTATGATCGATCTATATAATACATGTATATATAAGTATATAATTATTACATTTTAAGTTTCAACCAATAAGTTTTTTGCTTAGTACTGTACTGCATTTTGCAAATATATCAACCACTTCATCATTATCTATGGGCACATCGGACTCACATGATATTATTAATAATGACTCAAGACGATCTTGTTTCATAGTGCTCCTTAACCGATTTTTGATAATTTTTAATTTAGAAAAAGTTCTTTCAGTGGTTACACTACATACTGGCAATGTACAAGCAATACGAAGGGCCATAAATAATGTAGGGAATAAACTATGAAGTCCAGCTGAATAGCATATTTGTAGTAATGTTAATAAGCTTCCTGTATTCATAATATCTTTTTGTGTTTGATCATTGTTTAATTCTTCATCTGATGTTGAAATCTCCACGTTACATTCAATGTCAGAAGTGTTGATATTGGAAGTAAAGGGATAAATATTTTTTGGCAGTTTAGTTACTTTTTCAAAGTCAGAATACAAGTTTGCAAACTGAATATATTCATTACACAACTCATTCCGATCTATAAACTGTTGATACAAATTACAAAATGTACAGAACACATCTGTCGGTAGTCTTCCATTTTTAACTTGATTTAAACGATTTTTTGAGAAGAATGATATATCCCTTAAAAGATTTTGTGCAGTTGAGTGAAATCGGTTTTCTATAGCCATTATTGCTGCATCAAGTGCGCCAAAATAAGTATCAATTTTAAATTTCAGCTTAGGATCTACTACCGGTTCATCACTAGAATTTTCATCAAATTGTTTTTTTTTAGTTCTACTTCTATTTATGACCAATTGAGTGAATTCAAATTATAACTTATAACTATACTTAAAAAAAAAAGTTGAGTGAAAATCCAAAAAAATATAGTTTATGAACGTCTTAAGTTTAGATTTTGATAAAATTGAATATTTAAGCATAAAAAACTGATTTTCTTATTTTGTTATTATTCAAAAAAAATTAACATAAGTTGGCAGTTGCGTCATAATTTATTTGTTTAGAGTAATTATTCTTGACAATTTTCTGTCTATGACTAATTTTGTTTGGGTGCACAAATGTTTTTATATTAAGCTATAACGGGCCCACTATCAACCAATTGCTGTCACTGTTAGCTGTTGCAGTTGTAACGTTTTTACACAACGTAGACAATTAAATTAATATTATCTACATAGTGACTTTTTACTATTCAACTCTATATGATAACTAGAATGCTCACCAAGCACTGTTGCCCAAGAGAGAATGTTAGAACAAGATGGCCCATACTAATGGTGTTATTTTCTTTGTCTTGCTCATGGTGCTAATATCTTATATTTATTTACCGTGGTATTATTTTAGTTTGGTTCTTAAAATTTTGTATCCCACTATTTTTTTTTAACTTCCACAAAATATTTTTGATTAATTTAATAAAATATAAATAATTTAATGATAAATAAATATTTTACTAGTAAATAATTATAATTTATTATTATTATTATTTCGTATGGCTGACATTTATATAATCCTAAAAATCACAATTTATAATAATATTACAAGTATTGAAATATGCATTACTTGTGGACTTCTACAATTATCATATAAATGTAAAGGAAGTTGTAGGGAAATAGGAAATTGTATGTTGGAAAAAATTAAGTCGTCAATTTAAAGTTAGAAGGCTTTAAAATTAATTAAACTTTTTAATTGAAATTCATCACTGCGAGGGTATAAAATAACAACTTTATTTTTAGTAAAATAATATTTATTAAAATAGAAACATAGTAGGTATATATAATATTATTCATAACACTACTTTCCCGAAACTGCATCTACTACCTACTTACCTAACTTAACTTAATATTGTAGATTTATGATGTAGCAAATATTAATACTGGAAATATCCAATAAACAAAATCTTCAAAACACTTTTGTTATACTTCATGGGGAAAATTTCCCAAAATAAATAATTATTTAAAAATACTATGAGACATTGTAGATACTTTAAATATATTCATAACCTTTGAGTTGACTTCAGCCAGACATTTTTCCTGTAATGACAATAAAGCTAAAAATTAATAAAAAAAGGTATTCCATTTAAAATAAACTATTACAATATTCAACTATAAGAGAAAGCATTGTTAAATATGATATTTGATTTATTACATTTAAAAGCATTCATACTACCCTTCCATCATATTAAAGTATACGTTTTTTAAACTTTTTTGTTTGAAAAAAATAAGTGCATAAATAAGCGGTAGTGTTGAAATAAAAGCATATAATGAAAATATGTATTAATTATAAAATAAATCAAGCTCAATCAAAAGTATTTTACATGTACAACTTTCCATGACAAGAGTGCTAAAGTCCTAGTATTATAAATAAAATATAAATATTTAAAAATTAGTTATAAATGAACAACATATTATTTCAAATTTATTGGTAAGCAATCATAATTCATATAATTATGTGGGATGAAAAAAGATAGCAGCATCATTTTTATCTGCCATCTTTTTCTAACACTCTATTTAGGTTATGTTTACATTGGTCTTAATATGGCTGATGAGTATTCCAGTTTAAATATCGAGTCAATGGTTTTTACAAAGAAATAATAATTGGTTATAACCAAATGGCAAATACTATATATAATGATACAGAACACTGTACTATAGTACATTTTATCGTACAAATTGCTGTCATTGCCCGCCAAGATTGTTATAATAGTTGCCCATTTTACTCCATAACCTAGTATAAGCTACCGTGTTTTTATTATTATTAATTATTACTATATTAAAATATAATATTTTTTATTGTTTATCATAGATATTATTTAGTTTCTTAGTCCATAATATTGGCAATACTTACAGTACCTAGTGTTAATACTAATGTTAGAAATAAAAATTAAAATAGTGAGCTACAGTAATAATGGTATTAAAAAAAGTTTGGGCAGTGACCAACTGCAATAGTTATGGTATATTTATGACTTGTTTGATGTTTTTAATACAACAAAATTAAATTAACCAATTATTCTTAAAAGATCATGACATCAAAATTCTTTACATCTGGATTTTTTTAAAGTAGCTTTCACATTTTTATCAGAACTGAAAATAAACAATAAACCACCTTGTATAATAGGGTGGCAAGAAATTATTATTTGTGTACAAATTTTATTCAAAGTGTTGAATGAAAAGTATGGTATGAATGTTTGTTAATAAGATGCTTGACCTAAGATCGTCTTGAATCTCTATTTCAGTTTTAAAAGCTAGAGGAGGTAGCAACTCAATACCAGATACGGCAGATACATAAAAAATGTAATCAGCAATCCATATGAATATGTGTAGCACCTATGCTTATTAGTCCTGCAAATTATGCAACTGGGAAAAAGATGCTTCTAAAACTTCAATTATTACACTAGACAGCTCAAATAATGAGTCAGAAGAAAATAGAAAATCTTGATGATTATTATAGTTCAATAAATATTGAATATATTTTAATGAAAGATGAAACTGCAAATAGTGTGGCATATGTAACAGGTTGGGTTTGTAGTCAATTGGATCATAAATCATGTATTGAAAAACTGGTCACAAAAAAATAAGGATGATAAAAACAAATTAAATCTTGACAATACACACTTTGATATAAAATAATATGAAGACTGTAGATTAATTAATCCTTTTACCAAAACGTTGGAGTTCACTAAACATGTGTTGGCACTCTTTCATGCAAACATTGAAAACCTTATTCTGAAAAAAAAATGTAATTTTAAAAAAGATTTTAAACAAATAATGAGCCATGTCTGTAAAAGATAGGTAGGTACATTTTTAGATATATTTTTAAACGTCAGTATTGCTATGTCAAAAAGTCAAGAAGTTCAATGATTCATTCAACTAGTAGGTATACATTTTCAAAAGATAAAACGCTTAAAAAAGTAGTTCTTGTTCTGAGTATAATGTTTAATAAAAATGATAAATTATTATTATTATATATTATTATTGTGTTACATTATTATTATGAAAAGTAAAATATATAGGTAATATGTTTTGAATTACAGCTACCTATTTATCAATAGATACCCACTATAAAATGTGCGCATATTGCTTATTACATTTGCCAATAGGATTTAAGATCTTTGTAGGTGTGTGCAAATATCCAATGGGCAATATTACTTAATAATTTGTGATGCTATTTTTAATTCTTATTCACAATTTTTCTATGGGCCCACCCTCTTCAAAAATTTTATATGTAAGGCAGCGGCTGTCATACATAAACGCGAACTTCAGCACCGCTGATTAATTTATTGGTACCTATGTGCCATAAATGAATGTGTTATTCATTAGTTAATTTATAAAAATTAGAAGGAGTAAAATAGGCAACTACTTTGCCAAGTTCGAGAGGCAATGATAAGAAATTCATCAGTTTTTAGATGACATGTCTTACAATTGTCCTATGA